GATGCTTTGGACTTGGGGTTTCCAGTGTGGTATAGGCCTAGTTCAGCCCCCACCTGTGCTGCTGTGTTTTGCCCTGTGCTGCTGTGTTTTGCCCTGTGCTGCTGTGTTTTGCCCTGTGCTGCTGTTCCTGAGCTGTAAATATAAAGCAAGCTGAGAAGGCTGCTACTTGTGCTGGGCTTGGAGATGACCAGGTTAAGCCAAACTGTGAAATTAATCTGGCTGCTGCTAGTGCACAGCCTAGAGGTCTCTGGCTGTTGCTTGTTTGATACGATTTAGAAAGTTGTGTAGCATGAACAAAGGTGAGCCATTCATATGGAAAAGTAGTGTGGGGGGCATGGGGCACGTTGGGTGGGTTTGAGTCTCTGGGGCCTCCAAGGTGGGTCAAACCATGTCAGACAGGTTGATGGAGTCTCAAATATGGCACTAGCCTGCCAGCTCCTTGGCTCTGCAGGGGGAGGGCTCAGAAAAGGGACAGTGGCCTCTCCTTGCCCTGATGCTAGATACCAGCCTCTCCCAATATGCCACTGGTGCTCATCAAACTGCAACTCTGGCACTGGAGCTCACAGAGAGTGAGTCTGAGTAGGTGAGTCCATTTGTGGGTTCTTTAAGAGAAACTGCTTGGGGCTCCAGAATTCCTTTCACCAACTCAATCCCCACTGGTTTTTGCAGTAGAAGTTGTGGGGACTTATCTTCCTGGCACTGGAACCCTGGGCTGGGGTCCTGGTGCAGGACTTGGCCTATTCACTCCTGAGACATCCCTCCTGGAATTTTATCCACCACACATGGGTGAGAGACAGCCCATTCTGTGCCTGTGCCCATGCATGTGGTTTCTTTAATTCTGTAGTTGTCAGGTTTCCATTCAACTCGATATATGATGGTTTTGAGTGATGGTTGTCCTATATGTTAGTTGTAATTCTGAAGTGGTTGTATGAAGAGGCTAGCTATGTCTGCCTACGCCACCATCTTGGCTGGAAGCCACTACTTACCCTGTTTACTAAAAGAACTCATGGATAGGGTGATATTTTGTTAGCCCTTTCAAGTTATGTAGGACTCCCAAATATTACCAACAATCTGTTGCTAAGACAAAGCTGTGTTCATTGCTTACTTTGGTAATAGAGAAACACAGCTTCTCAGAGCTTTGTCAGTCACACAAAGAGAGTAAAATCCTGTGAAAATTTATGGAGAATTTGAAGTTAGGCTTAAGAAGGTCTTTCAATGCACACTTGATTAGAATTGGGTAAGGATCAGATAAACAGTTGATCAGATACAGAGGGGAACTGAGGTTAGAAACCATGTGTCCCCTCAGGGTTCTGATGACCAGTTCCAGGTTCTAATCCTGGCTTTGAATTTATTAGACACTCCTGTTTCCTTTTAGTAACTCTGTCTTTGTTCTCTAACTGGGTCTGACCAGCATACTTTTGCTTGCAACCCAAGTTAGATCTCCTATTTGAAACTAAAAGAATTAGGTCTCAGAAAAGTAGCAATACCATCATTGCTCATTAAGAGATATTTGGGCATTTGTGATAGTAGATATGGCAAATTGATGCTAAAAATTGTTTCTTTATTCTCTTGAATTGATTAAATTCTTATGGGCAAGGTTCTTGAAAAATATTTTGGAGAAGGCTCTTCTGGATGAAAAATGCATATGGTCTGTGCAAGTATTTTCCTGTTGTCAGAACCTAAAAATCCCATTGAAATAATATGGGAAACCATTTCCCCCTAGATCTCTGTCTTTCATGGTGGATTTTCAGAACTCAATTTTGAGTTTCTTGCAAAACAGAACACTGAGAAAATTATTTTGGAGAGTTTTTATGGTAAAATATCTTCCTGTTAATCTCAAAGTAAGTGTTCAGACATTTTATCCTATTTCATCTACATCTATCTGCAAAGCTTTTTTATCTGCACTTTATCTGTGGAGACAAATTATTAAAAAGGATTTATGTTATGCTCAGTGTCCTTTGCTAACTAGGATAAAAGATTTTATGCAAGCAGCTTCAAGTGCTCTTATTAATATTGTATTTCCAAAGTGAAAAAAATTTTGCTTTGTTTTTCGGATGTTATCTTGAAACATTAAAGTACAATTTAAAAAGAGGGCTTGAGGTATATAGCTTTCTCAGAAGAGGCCCACATTTTTAACAACACAAAAGACTACTGTAATAATATAGTAAGTGTTCTGAGATGGATTTTAATTTTCTTCAGAGTTGGTATATACTGTAGACTGTTGACCACTTCTGGGGCAGAACAAAGACAGCAGAAATATGATGATCCACTCATTTCAGACAGCAACTAGAAAGTTGTATTAAAATTAAGCCAAACAAGTAGATCTTGCAAGACCTCAGCTTTGACCTTGGAATTACCCTCTGCCTACTTCACATGTCCCCGGCATTTCTTTTATTCTCTTGTGGCAGGGAATGTGGAGTTGCCAGGTTACTGTTGATGAAAAGTAATTTTTAGAAACAGAAAGTCAGAGTCCTGGCTCTGAATGATTCATATTGCACTCTAGGCCATGTTATGAATGTTAAACACTTAACTATCAGTTGGTACTTAATCTGTTAGATCTTGCTCAACCCATAATTTGAGTGTACACTTTTTTTTGCTTTGAGTATAAAATAGATGGTTTATATTTTCCTTCCAGCTGATTCAGAAGTAAAATGGTGCACTCATTTGGCATTAAATTAGTAAAAACAAAAATGTTTACTAAATTAAGCTAAATGAGGTGAACTTTTGGTTTTCCACATCAACTATTTATCAAATTATCAAAATGGATTTAAGCTCTAAAACCTGACAGTTTTGGAATATGAGAAATGTGATTCAGAAACATGAAGGCCCCATTTTTTAGCCTCTTCCTCCTTTTGTTTAGGAGATTTGAGGTATAAACCACAGGTACTTTTTCAGAGACATCCTTTCAAAGGATTTATTTATCAAGTTATGTGATTTTGGATAAGTCTCAAGTCTTTTCATGTATGAAATGAGAATAATATTTGCCTCACAAAACTGTTGATAGCAGAATGTGAGGCATCCATTCATTTTATTATATATGTATATTTGTAGATATTATTATAATAGGCCTCCAGGAAATGTTAGCTATATACTATTTTATTAATTGAAAAGATACTGTCACCTGGTTCAATGTTCAAAAGATACAAAGAGTTTTATGTTGTATCTTTTGAAATCTTTCCACTTGTTTCCCAGCAACATTAATTCTCCTCCCGGGAGTCAACGGATGCATCATTTTCTTGGATACCTTGCTTGAGATATTCTGTACATCTGAAAGTAAAAATGTATAGTCTTTCCCTGCCTTAAAAATTTTTTTAATTTATTTATTTTCAGAGAGGGGAAAGGAGGGAGAAAGAGAGGAGAAACATCAGTGCATGCTTGCCTTTTGCCTGCCCACCACTGGGGACCTGGTCACAACCCAGGCATGTGCCCTGACTGGAAATCGAACCACTGATTCTTTGGTTTCCAGGCCTGCACCCAACCCACTGAGCCATACCAGTCAGGGCTTTAAAATTAAAAAAAAAAAATTATCTTTCCCTGCCTGTTTTTTCTTTTTTAAAAATATATTTTATTAATTATGCAATTACAATTGTCCCATTTCTCCCCTTCATTCCCCTCCACCCTGCACACCCTCTGCCTTTTTAAAAAACATGAGTAAAATCTTACTATTTTACGTTTTCCTTTTTGTCACTTAAAAATGTATCTTAGAAGTTGTTCATATCAGTAGAATGTTTTTAAACAACTGTGGCTAAATTAACTTAGGCATAGCTGTATATTTGTGTGTGTGTGTGTCTGAGTGAATGTGAAGTAATGAGTGTGAGAGCTAGAGCAAGCTGGCCTGTTGTAATTTAATTACCAATTCTAACCCCTAACTACTGTGTATTCATTCATACATTCACTTCATTCATTCATTCAACAAATATTTTTTGAAGGCCTACCATGAGTCAGGCTAGGCTCTGGCAATACAGCCAAGAACAAACCAGACACTTCTTTCCCATTGCAGTGAATGAGGCTGGACATTGCATTTTTGCCTCGTCTGCTGTGTGGTGCTTCAGAGCCCCATGCTAGCCTTTCCTGGCTGAGTCTTAGGCTCGAACTCCCGAGATTGTCCAGCATCCTTCTGGTTCGGGTTGGGGTCCTGAAGCGAGAGAGGGCAGAGAGGGGAGCCTGGATCTACGGGGAGTCTGGAGCTTCACCAGAATCCGGACGCGGGGATGAAGAGGCCCGGGATTCGGGGGAACTGCTGGCGGGGCATGGATCCTCGGTGCGACTTTGGGGCATCGGTCCTGGGTGTGAGAGCGGATATACGCCTCAGTTCGTGTCCCCTCCTCACCGTGAGAAGCACACGAGGAAGTCGAAGACTACTTTAACCATCCCATTTTACAAAGATGGAACACTAAGGCCCAGGATGGCGATGGTCCGTACCCTTGCCCACCTACGCGCCTGGGATTGGAGGGAATCGGGGAGCATGGACAGGGCCAATTCACAGCGAGTTCAACAGTTGGGGTGACGGAAACCGATAAGAAACTGGATACCTCTAAGCGTCTACTGAAAACTTGTGCAGTGGGAAGGATTTCGGACCCATAGAGCGGTAGCGGTAGCGGTAGCGGTAGCGTAACGGAGCACCAGGCGCGCGGCCCACAGCCCTTTAAACTCCCGCAGCCCAACAGCCACAGGCGGAGGAGGCGGGAGGGCGCGCACTCTCACCAGCCAACAATCTCCCTAGCTCCGCCCCCTCGCCGATTCTTGCCCAATTAGCAACTCTCTTTCGTCCAGTCTCAATTCCTCCCTTCTCTTCGCGCCTCCGCCCCTACAACCCAGAGCTTAGAAACGGAGAGGGAGGGGCTCCCTGTCGGGTGCCTGGGCAAGTGGTATGTCGCGCGCTCCCCCAGATTTTTCGAATGCAGTTGGCCCTCAAGGCAGAAAAAAATACAAGAGTGGCGACCAATGGCTCTCCAGAAAGAACCCGCGCGCTGCCCCGGCTCCGCCTCACTCTGCTAAGAAAGAAGTGCAGGCCCGGCCATTGGTTCGCGTGATCTGTCACTCGCTGCTGCGGCCAGCGGGCAGGGGCCTTGCGGTGATTGGTTCCGCCCAGGCGCGAAATGTAACGCGGGAAAAGTCGGAGTGGGGACCGCAGAGGCAGGTTGTTATTTTCAGGGGTTCAGAGTCGTGAGTTCTGCTTTGCTGTCACCTCAGGCCAGGCCGCCCGCTGCTTCCCTTCGCTGAAGCCTGCGTTGGAGCGTACAAAGAGCAGAGGACAGGCTTGACCCGGGTTTGGAGTCCAGCACTGACCACCCGGTGGCCGCCTAGCTGCTCTGCTCCTTCGCTGGCCGCCGTACAGGAGGATTCCAGGAAACGTCCGCTTGCCATGAGCCGACGGGACTGAGAGCCAGCGACTAAGAGCAGAGCAGGCGAGCGGAGCAAAGGGCCAGATCCTGGCTCAGGGAGTCCGGCCAGCGGAGCTGCGGATCCAGGCAGGACGATGATTCGGGGCGTGGAAGCGTCGATGGCGGAAAATCCGCCGCAGCCACCGCCGCCGCCGGTCATCTTCTGCCACGACTCTCCGAAGCGGGTGCTGGTGTCGGTCATCAGAACGACCCCGATCAAGGCCACGTGCGGCGGCGGAGGGGAGCCGGAGCCGCCCCCGCCACTTATCCCCACTAGTCCTGGTTTCAGCGACTTTATGGTGTACCCGTGGCGCTGGGGCGAGAATGCGCATAATGTGACACTAAGCCCTGGGGCCGCGGGGGCTACCGCCTCGGCCACCTTGCCCACCGCCGCCCCTCAACACCCGGGGCTTCGGGGCCGGGGCGCGCCCCCTCCCACCGCCTCCGGCGGTGAGGATGAGGAGGAAGCCAGCAGCCCAGACAGCAGCCACCTTAAGGTAAGTGGGGCGGGGCACGGGACAGCTGGACGGTTAACGGCGCAGTCCGGGAGCTGGCGGCGCCCGGGACAAGGCAGGCGGGGCGGGGCCGAGTTTAAAACGCAGAGTAGCTGGGGCCAAGGCGGGGCGGGGGCGGGTGACAGGACCTTGACGTCACTGCCGCGCGCCAAAAAACGGGCTTTGTGTGGGGGCGGGGCAAGGAGGTGTCCACGTGATGTGCGTTTGGGGAGGGCGGCGGGGGGCCAGAGGCGGGCGGTCCTGTGGTGCTGTGGACGGATCTCAGTCTGGGGTGGCTGAGGAGGCGGTCAACCCTACTTACAAGGCGCTGGGCAAACCGCTGGGTCTTCGCTGGCCCAGGAGGGAGGGAAGTGGCTGTTTCCTGGAATTGTTTACTTTCGGTGCTGGAAGAGACGGGGGCTGCGCAGTTTGTGCTCCATCTCTAGATACCTGGCCCCGCTAAAGATGCTTTGCAGAGATAGCCGAAGAGTGAGAAGGGAGTTCGGGGAATCTTCAGGAGTGGAAGTTAGGCCTTCTCTGCCTTTCACTTATCCGGCGGACTTCTTTGCTCGGGGCTGAAAGAGCACTGTGTCGTGGTCTCTAACCTTTAATTGATTTTACTCTTAGACTGTTTAGAGCTGGGAAGGATGCGATTACCTGGTTGAAACCTACAACTTTACGGATTAGGCAATTAAGTTTTAGATAGAGATTGGTGAAAGGACCTCTCTAAGGTCACACAGCTAGGTAATGGGAAAGCTGGAACTGTGGTTGGCTTTCTGTGGCTCCTAGTCCTGAAGCATGTGTTCCGGGTGCCTCTCCGCAGGCATAAAGAGTATTCGACTTTAATACCTTACACACTGTAAATGTTGAATAAAGGTGCTCAGTAAATAGTGATGTAATGAATGAATGGTGCAAATATACGTTACTATTCAGGTTCTATTTGTTAACTGGCTATATAAAATAAGCAGTTTGCCAAAGATAAAACAAGTAAATCACTTAGTGGGTAAGTGCATCTGTATTGGCAAATACTGTATTTATAAATTGAAATAAGTTTGATTGTTTTACACGCAGTAGCAAAGTCGCTGAAACTGTTGTTTGAGCCCGGAGGAAATTGATACACTTTGTTACTAATGTTATTGTTATTAAAGAACTATGAAGTTAATAAAATTATGTTTTGACACACTTCATCTCTTGAAGCTCATTTAAGTAAAAATTTGAATGATCTATCAGTAGAAATGTTCATAATAGTGCTGATCTCTAGGTAGCCTGTAGTAAGATGGATAGGTATCCTAAGTATTTTTCTTTTTTCAGGCCTTTTAAAAAAAACACATATATTAGAGCCCTGGCTGGTGTGGCTCAGTGGATTGAGCACCGGCCTGTGAACCAAAGGGTTGCTGGTTCCATTCCCAGTCAGGGCACAGGCCTGGGTTGTAGGGCCAGGTCCCCAGTAGAGGTCATGTTTTCCTCCTCTCTCCCCCCTCTAAAAGTAAATAAGTAAAATAAATAAAACATATTAGATTATATAATTGAACAACATAAAGGCATACGTACACAAATATTTGTGGAAGATGTTGGGTTTATTATTAATTGTAACTAAATCTAATTTAGGGTTATCTAAGACAATATTATCACAAATAAATGAAATCTGCAGGTATGTCCTTTTTATCCTGACACTTATTTTCATACAAGCCTTTTATGAAAGTTGCTTGCACAGTGCATAGGTTTGAATTTTATTTCCACATTGTTCACCTCTTTTCAGGGGTAAAATATACCAGGAATTATGAAGAACATGTGAAAGTGAAAAGGCTGTTTTATATTTCACTTTTTTCCTCCTCACGATTTTTCATATTGTAACTTTGATAAATTTTCAGAGGAATTGGTTCTAACTTGTCATCTTATCAATGATGCAGTCTAAATACAGCTTCAAAAATTCACTTATTTAGCTTGATAATATTTCAGGGTTGGGAGGAGGTGGGGCCCAGGTGAATTTAGAATATACCTTTATTTAAGGAAGTTACCTAATTGGATTTGTGATTAGTACCCTCTAGACTAAAAGCAGGGAGTCCTAGTTCCCTGTTTACTTCCTGAAAGTGCTTGTAGTTCTTTATCTCCAGGTGCAGCATGGGTTAATCGTAGTGACTGAACCTGCTCACTTTTTGGGAAAATGGGAGACAAGTTTGCATTAAAGCTAATACCAGTAACATGCATCCCTCTACCCCTTCTCAGTGTGTATGTTAGAGGCAGCAACAGCTGTGGATTTGAGAACAATATTTGTGTTCATTTGCTGTCTATTTGTTGCCATTGCTCCCAAGGGAGGTGTGTGAGTCCAGCACACTGGTTATCAGCTTCTGGTTGCTCTACTGTTTGTTCCTGTCCAACACTGTTTCCCCTGCCTGTTGGGAGAAATCCATCATCTACCTACTTATTCTGGCTCCTGATTGCAAAATTGCTTAGCACTTTTTCGGGTGTAATAACATATCATCAGCATTAGATCTTTTCCTGTAGAATTTGGGGAGATAAGGTAACAGGTCTAATTTTCCTCTGCCACAGAATATTTCAGGCCTCCCCATCTTGTGTCCATGAGGTTACTTCTCTACTGTGGGACCTGTGTGGTTTGGCTTCTCTGTGCTTAGCCTCAGATACCATTCACTCTTCAGGACCTGCCAGCTGCCTATCCTCCCTTCCCTTTTCTGTCACATGAACACTTCTACCTTCTAGATGCCAGTAGTCTTACAAATAGCTGATTAGTACAGAGTAATTACTATGTAAACATAACATGTAAACATAGGAGCCACCATTTATTGGCCTGCCAGGCTCTGTGTTGAGTATTTTTAATTCCTTTCCTAATTAACCTTGTTTACCTGAAGAAGGAGGAATTAGAGAAAAGAATCCCCAAGATTAAGTGTGGTTACCATCATGGTTAAGTGGTAGAACTGATTGGAATCTTCCAGAGCCCTTGCTCCTAATCCCTACATGAGATTGGTCTTGTGTATATCATGTGTGAATTGCCTTTAGGTGTTTATTGTGTTTTTAATATTAAGCTAATGCAAGTAGACTTACCACATATTATTTATACCTATCTATGTCTGAGTAGAGATGCTTTATGAGGGTACAGGCAGTAATTCAGATTAAGGCTTGGAAAGTTTTGCAGATAGGTCAAGGTGGGGAATAGAGTTAGGTAGGGTACAGCTATGGGAGCCATAGGAAATTTAGATCTAAATCTGACTTCAAAATGGGAAATGTGATAAATTATATTTTCTCAATTACTTATCAATGTACATATGCCTCCCAGTGAGTCCTATTTTTCTTTTCCTTCTACATTGTGTCTGAGTACTTTATTTTGAATTTTACTATGTATGAAAATGTGTTGAGGACTTTTCATTTTTTTTTTTAGTAATTACATGAATACCAAGTTTGAGTATAACTTTTTCTAAAGCCTAGGTAAATGTGTACATTATGCCAAGTGGTTTGAGAATAGCCCCAATTAAAAAAAATCCTCAACTGAAGATATTTTCACTGATGTTAGACACGGAGGGAAAGGGGGAGAGAGAGGGAGGGAGGGAGGGAGAGAGTAGAAAGATCAGTTGCCTCTGGTGCCTGCCCTAACTGGGAATTGAGACCATAACCTTTTGGTGCACTGGATAATGCTCCAACTAACTGAGCCATCTGACCAGGGTGAGAAATAACCCAAAGTTTATTAAAGAGTTTTAGCCCTGGCCAGTGTGGTTCAGTCAGTTGGAGTGTCATCTCATACACCAAAAGGTTGCAGGTTTGATTCCGAGTTAGAGCACAGAATACCTAAGGTGCGGATTCAGTTTTTGGTCTGGGGGCATAGGGGAGGCAACCAATTGATGTTTCTTACAGCTATGTTTCTGTCTTCTCTGTCTTTCTGCTCCTCCCTGCAACTTCCCCGCCCCCAATCCCCCCACCCCAAGCACTGAAAAAAAATGTCTTCTGGTGAGGATTAAAAAACAAAATTTTAAAAAAGATTCTACTTATTTATTTTTACAGAGAGGAAAAAGAGGGGAAAAAGAGAGGGAGAAACACTGATCAGTTGCCTCTTGCATGCCCCCAACCAGGAACCTGGCCCACAGCTGAGGCTTGTGCCCTGACCAGGAATCAAACTGGTGACCTTTCAGTTGGCAGGATGATGCCCACTTCACTGAGCTACCCAGTCAGGGCAAAAAATTATTTTAAAGTTAGTTATTGACATTGAGAACTCAAAACATTTATCATGAAATAGTTTAGAAAATACTTTCAAAATCACTACGCTACTTCTGGAGATATTGAAATTCCATTAAAAAAGTGAAGTTTACTGACATATGCATACAGTTTGGGTACTTTATAGTAGCATATCTTGCAGCAGTTGCCACATAATACCAGTGAGGTGTATTAGAATTTGTTAACTTTTTTTTGCAAATCAAGTAGTCTCAACAAGATTTCTCTCTCATGCTACAGATATAGTTGGTTGCTGGTGAGACTGTATTGTCAAAATGTAGCTTCTTATTGCTAAGGTCAAAATGAAAATAGTCCTTTTTAAGTCTACTTATTTTTTATATATACAGTTAAAAGATGCTCTTTATTCATTGATTTAGGGCATTAGATGATTACTTACTTGCCTTGCATAATTTTCTTAGTTCAAGGAATGCACTTAGTGAAGCCTTACTTGTACATGGCTAGGGTGTTGTATTGTTTAGCTTTCCATTTTTTATCTGGTAAATGTGTGGTTTGTATCTGAAACAAGAGCTTAGAATTGCTGTGAAGCAGCCAAATGGTTAACTTTTTAAAATATATCTTCCTCCCTACTGAACATGCGTATTTTTTGACCAGAAACACAATATTAATGAGTAATCTTAAATTTGTGATATTAATTAATTAATCATTATTTAAAATTGTAATAGTTGGCTGTATATCCCAGCTAGCCTACTGATCTTGCCGTGCCTCTGGCCAAGACCTCACTGAGATGCCATCTCAAATGGAACATGCCATGAAAACCACGATTG